TACCTAGCTTATTATTTTGCTAGTTTATAGTACCTAGCTTACGGGTTATTTTACTGACCTTTCCTCTCCTCAGAAAGGTCCACGTGCAAAATGAAAAAGAAAATCAGGAGGAGAATCCCAGTCCAACTCCTCTTATGTTAATTTGGTGTCAATCAGTTATTCAGAGGAGGAAGGTGTGAGTGAGTGCAAGGACTGATGTTCAGTCAGGGGAAAAAAAAGCCCTGGAACATGTTCAGCATAGCTTAGAGAACAAGCTTATGTAGCTTATATAGCAACATAGCTGGAACATGCTTATGGCAAGCTGAGGATTTACACCAAAGCTGTAACTGTACATTGTCAAAATAGAGGTGTCCTTTAGCTATAGGATAATGTCTTCAGTTATTTGAAATTAATTTGAAAATCAAAAGGGCTATTGAGTGCATGTAACTAAAGTGTCTAAATATTTATATTCCTAATAAAGGTTCTTCTGTAGTAAGATTTTATCTCTTACATGTTTAATGAAGGACACAATAGAAGAAGCCTAAGTGTGTCCATCTCAGGTAACCAGTAGAGAAACACAGATGCTTTTAGGATATGATGGAATCTCTTAGAATAGCTGCTTTGGGATAGGATGAATCACAGCCCACAAATGCCTATTTCTCTTCAGTGACTATAAAGAGAGAGGGGGAGTAAAGTGACTCAGTAAAATGTAGTTGTGTATATTTGGTCAAATATATTTCAAGCTAAATGCATAAGGCTAAAATCCAGAGGCAGCTCAGCTTTCCATGGCACCCAGTATATGTGTCTCAAACACTCAGCAACAAAAGTTTTGTTGGAGTGTACTGCAGTTCTTCTCTGGCTGATGCCTTCTTCACCCTTCCCAACTAGAACCACCCTGTGAAGGAATGGTGCACGTGTACTTAGTTTTCATCCTGATGGGGAATTGGTGTCCCACTATAATAAAGTCAGGGTGCAGACTGGATGTGTGCCTGAACCCATGTATTTGGATCTCACAATTTAGACATGGCTTAAATTCCTTGTGCAAGTGGCGGAAGGAGAGAGAGCATTTGGAAGTCCTCCAGGAGCCACCTTAATTTTGGTGAGATTGATTCCTAACATATAACTTGAATATTTGCTTGCTTCTGTGGTGTGTTTTCATTTTATATTTCAGAATATATGATGAAAATAGAATAGTCTGGTTTAATTTCTGAGCACAATCTCCAGTTTTCCTAGATTAGGGAGATGTTGGGATGTCTGGGTTCTAGGAAGTTAAAACAGTTGAAAAGCTGGACTTAAAGTTCTTCTGATAAGCCTGTTTTTAAAACCAAAATCAGACCAGCCCTTTCAGAACAACATACTTGTTTCCTGTTAGTAACTTGGAATTTTCACATTCATCTTAATTTTTTTAATCTATAGTGATTTCTACCATCACTTCAGCTCTGATACAGAGATTGAGGTATTTTGCAAATGCTGGCATCAGTGGTATTATGCATGAGTGCCTAGTTTTAAAATCTTGGCAGCTGCTTTGACTTTTCTTTATGCTGTCATTCAGACCATAGCTACCAAGGCTGAATTTTGCTCATAGTAACAGTTGTGGGAAGTTACTAAAGGAAGTGTCTATTACTGACACAGGAAATAGTTTTGCAGTTCTTTTTATCATTGCTGAACTTACCAAAATGTCACTGTTGCCATAGGTCATCTGTGCAAGGCTCAAAATCATCTATCTGTTACACTGAATGTCACTTAAATTGCTTGGTGACTTCAGTGTTAGTGTTACATATGTTCCACACTTCTTGTAAAACTCCCTTTAAATTGACAAGTTTTGTTGTTTCTGGAATTAGACCTAATCACTATGATTCAAGAGTAAAGAAGGAAAAACAACTGTGTGGGTTCTGCATTTTTCAGTTCTCCTCCTCTTTATTACTTCCAAAATTGTCCTTTTCTCCAAAAGTTATATCAACATCATTCAGAAAATTGTGCGTAATAGTCACCTTTAGCAGCATTTTCCCCTTGATTCATTAATTACAGGAGCACGTGAAGCAGAGCAGATGGCATTTTCTGAGTTGGGAATTTACCTTTGTTTGTTATTCTTTGTTGAGTTTGACATCTGAATTTCTCAGCTTCTCCAAGATGATGTTGTTTTGCAATTAAATATATAATATGGTTGTATAAATCGGCTTGAAAATTGAAATTTTGGCCTTTTTCTTTGTAACCGATGTGGAAAATGAATGGGCGCATGGGCATATCTCCATTTGGAATCAGTCACTTTGGAACAATTAACTGCTCAATGTACAGAGCAATTATTTTTAAAAATACCTTTTTCTTTAGTCCATGAATTCATGCCTTGTTATGGCACTACTCGAGTGCCATTTTTGAGAAAGAGCATACATTTTCTCTTGAGCGTTTTGATGAGTCCTAGCTAAAAGGTCCACAAATGGGATGTGATATTTTTTTGGCATTCCCTATTGAGTTGAGGGGCTTCTGATCCTTTAGCATAAGAGGATCTAAAACATAATAACCCATAATAACGAGGATCTGTGTGGCTGCTAGTTTTGTGGTTTTGATTCAGGAGTCCTAGGGATGGTATCTGGGAGCACCTCAACGCCGTTTGACTGCAGTTGAAGCTCTACAGTGGTTGAAGACCAGTGTATGCGCTGTGAAGCAGTGGCACTTGAAATAGGATTGCGGAGGCAGTGCTGAACCCTCACCTTTTGAGGGGTTGTGTTAGTGACTTGTCTTGGGTTTGGGGGGTTAGGGGTTGAGGTAACTTGCAAGTTTCCTCCCTCTTTAGAGGCAAACTAACAGACCACGGAAGATCTTACCACATGTTGGGGTATGTGCATGTGGTCTGTGGAGAGGATGGATGGCTCCTGGTGGCTGGTGGTGCCTGTGCTGCTTACTCTCCCTTCTCTGGTTTGGGCATCATCTTCTTCTGTGTTGTAACCTTCTACTTGACCAGATCCAGGATTTCCAGACTCTTGTCTCTTGTGTCTCCTCCTCCCTTTCCCTCTTATTGCTGTCTCTCCCTCTTCTGCCCAGCTTCATGCCATGCTTTGGCCCACCGGCCTTTTCTGACACCCCCTCTGCCGTGTGCTGGTCTCATGCATGTCCCTGGGGCACCAGCCGAAGGGTCATGAGAGCAACAGGCGAGATTGTCTTCCTGCTGTCAGCTCCAATGTCTGGTCTCTGGCAGATGGGAGCAGCAGTTACAGGGGAAATCCTGCTAATCTCCTGTAACTTGAGCCCATTACATGCTCAGTCGCACTGTGGGGCTGGTGCCTTTCCAGCCGCATGCGGACGGATGGCTGAAGGAGACGGACACTCACTGCAGAACATTTTCTGAGGTTTGCACTGTAGAGGTCAGAAACAAAACCCAAAAAGATGCTGTGAGTCAGCTGAATGCTTGCAGGTTTTAAAGCTTTGTCAAATAGGAAAATATTTGCATATGCATAGCAAAAAAGCAGCCTTGATTTTAACAAAAAAAAATCAAACCCCAAACCCAAAAAAAGCAAGGGATCAGCTCTTTGCCAAATTTCAAGACTGCCCCAACATGGGCAGAGGAACCAGAGTTCCTCAGTGAGTAAGTTACAAGGATAGCAGAGGAACATGGTTTTGTCTAGGCTAACTCATAAATAGGCAAACTGTGTTTTGGCAGAAAAGTAAAAAAAATCCTGCAGCAGATGTCCAGCATGGAAAATTTTAACAAGGGTAGCTCGAGTTTGGCAAAGTCAAAAGAATGTGGAAAATCCTGACAAGATGCACCAAGCCATCTTAATAACGGATGGAGTTACCACCCTTGTCCCCAGGGTCTCTTGAACCCACTAGAATCAACTATTTGTGTGTTTGGGGTTTTTTTGGGGGGGGCAGAGGGCAGGGGTGTTGTTTGGGATTTTTTATATAGGGCAGAATAGAGCAGAATGGAGGGGGTGATTGAATAGAAAACAAGGGCTGGCTGGCAGGAGTCTTCTCAGCAGGAGCATGTTTCATCCATGCCTGGAAGGGGAGGGTTTTCACAAATTGGGTGGGAGATGGTGGAGCCCAAAGGAGAGTTGTTGCTTACAGGATAGAGGAATAATGGATTTTTGGGAAGCTGTGTTTATAATATGCAAAATAGTCCATAGGAAACAATGGGGCCTTGGGACAGAGCTGCCAGTGAATGAGAGCTTTGTTTTCCTCTTGTCTATTCATATTTCTAAACTTTTAGTGGCATTTTAAACACGTTTTACACATTTTTTTGTGTAATGGCTTGAATTGCCTAAATTGCTGTCTAAAGTAGTGTTGCACTGCAATCTTTATCCCCTTCTGGATAAAGACTGACTTTCAGCTTTAAGTTCCTTTCTGTATTTTTCTTAATTGCAGCTCTTATTCAATAATCCTTGGCTGCTTTGTTCTCGTGTTTTAAAACGTCAGTAAAATTTGTGGGAGAACTGATTGACAGCAGACCTTGTGTATGAAGTGTGTCGAGTTGCCCACAGCTTGACTGGAAAATGGCAACTGGTATCATAGTCCTTATGCCAGAACCTTGATACAAATGAACATTAGTTGCAAGCTAATTGCACGAACTGCAGTTTAGATGCTGCTGATGTAAATTGTCTGCTGCTGATATGAATTAAAGCAGCATCATTTGGATGGTGTTTTCATTGAGAAGCATCCCATACCTGCAGTCCCCAACAACCGGTCTGAAATATTCAGTAAGATGTTACGCTTGTATTGCAGTTAATTGCAGGCGCTGCACATAAGATTATGCAGTATTAAAATGAGAATATTACTGCGTGAATTGGAGTGTGTTTTGGCTGCACATTATGGTTTGATATATTATGGTGCACACCTTTACAGCCAAAACAGCATCACTGCAGTTTTGCAGTTTCAGAAACATTGTTTGTGCATGCATTTACAATTAGCAAAAGCATTGAAAATCCTTGTGCAAGAAAAGGTATAGCTGCTGTTGCAGTGGAGGGGAGGGAATTGTTTGTTTTTGCACCATATTATTTCATGGAGGTATCGCTTTACCTCACCAGTAAAACTCCTTCCCTGCGCGAGGGAAATTCCTGGTTCATTGGTATGGATGCATTGTTTTTACACATTAGAAGTGCTGTGTTGCTGTGTCAATCATCCCCTTAGGATCAGTTTAAGAGCAGTAGGGCTGACGAAGCTGGGTGTGATTGGCTACCATATGCTGGGAGGGCTCTGTGAGAAGGAAGGGCTGCAGTCTTTCAGCAACAGAGTTTAGGCTGTGTCTTTGCTTCATCATCTGAGGAAAAATCCCCAGATAAGGCACAAGGCTTTCTGAGGAAAAAAAAAAATATTACAGGCTGATCGTTCACGTGAGAATTAGTTACCATGATGCGATGGGAAAGATATGGCTGTTTGTTTATATCAGATGTTCCTGTTGACGTTGGGAATGTGTCGAATAGACAGGGCTAAACAAGGTAGGAGGATCCTTGTCTTTTATCGAATGTTTAAAGAGTTTGCTGCAGTATGCTGCATACTGTATGTGTTGCTTGGGGGAGTCGGGGAAACAGTGCTACTCTGGTGAATAGATTCTGTTTGGGTGCAATAGGTGGACTTTATGGTAACTTGTTTTCGAAGGGTATTAATTTCCAGTGTAAATAGCTCTCTTCAGAAATAGAACATGAGTATATGCATATTAACACAAGTAAAAAAAGAAATAGGTCAGTATGTTTCAGAAATGCTGCTACCCTAATTGGATTTTTAGCTGGGTTGTTTTCTGGAAGTGCTGCCTAGCTTTAAGAAGGAGAAGGAGTCAGCCTGGAAATCTGTGAAGTTTATAGCAGCTATGTTTGAAGATTTAGCTGAATTAGACTGGCTGATCTAAATAATTCCCTATTGGAGGCTTTAACTAAAGCCAAGACTGCCTGTTTTAGACTTGAAGGAGCCATACAACGAGATTACAGTATTTTACCCTGTTGTAAAAGTATGGGCATTTTTGACTGCACTGTGATTCCTTGTGGTCTTGAAGGAAAGCTGGAAGAGTTTTTCATATTGTAGTTTAGCTGAGTGTTTCCCCTGTCCTTTCCAGGTCTTTGTCTTAGCAGCAAAACAGAACCTGTACATGAAAGGAAGGAAAACAAGGTTAATAATATGTGCTGCAATTATCTGATCTTTATACATTTTTAATGAGAGAACACACAGCTAGCAGAATAATTTAATGAGCAGGCTGGCTTTTAGAGCAATGATTTCACTGTGCTAAGGCATACCAACTTTCTTGCAGGGGAGGAGCCTCAAGGAGGAATGGTTAAGATTTATGTTAAATGCTCTGGAGAGAAGGAAGAGATGTTTAGGCAGAAGTCTGTGAAATTCTGGAAGAATAGCGTAGTTATTAGCTGTTATTATTTGTTAGATGGAAAGCAAACTTTACCATCGTGTTGCAGGAGGGATCTGAGAACATTTCCTCATCCTGGGATGTGATAAAGCCTCTTCAACTTTCTCAGACTGCCATATGCATTGATAGTGCTCAATACCTTTCAGGATTTCACCCAGTTAGAGACCTGAATTAACGTGCTGACTTCAGCTGGATTATAGAAGCATCATTTATATGTACAGTATGTAATAGAGTTTTTAGTTTTTTCTTTTTCCTAAGAGTAACAGTTGGTGAGACAGCAAGAAAATGTTGTCATCTTATTTCTCCTGTAATAGCCATGAACCTTGCATATAGGTGTATTTATTCAAATAGGACATTGGTAGGAAAAAGAAAAGTGTATGAACTGAGGAAGACTAAAGATCAAAGTCTTAAAGAGAAATTAGGTAAAAGAATGTTTTACCGGCTAGAAAACCTTTCATTGATGTAATTTTTGGGAAAGTTTCAAGACTTCTTTTATCCTAGGGATGAGTTACACTAGTTTTAGAAGTATTGCATTAAGTAGGCCCTTCTAGACCAACTGTCCATCACCTTTCCTGTTTTTCAAGGAGAAATACAGGACAAGTGCTCAGAATGACGATGTCACCTCCTGACTCCTCACAACTGACTTTGCTCAGAGGAGGTTGATACAATTTCCCTGCTCCCTGGCCAGGTACTTGCTGAAGACCTGCAGCAAGGTTGTTGGCATGTATTCAGTTCATGAGCTGGTCATTTTTGAATGCTACATCTTCTAAATAAAATCAACCTCATTTCTTCTGAGAATTTCAGGCTTTGCTAACGAGGAGAACACATGTCAGGATGCAGAGCGTTGTTATTATAAATCCATAGGATATGGATATGGATAAGTCTATCACTATTGATGCTTAAATGCGTTGTTTGTGTGCACTCTGCTAAGCTTGTGAAGCAAAGACTAATAATTAGAAGCAAGTCAAATAATCTTTTTCAAGCTATAAAATGTGAGGCAAACAAACAATTTTTGAAAATAAAACAATTTTCACACAAAGCTTTCAGAGAAAACTTTTCAGTCTCCTCTTTTGAGGCAGTCTCTTACTTTCAAATGGTTTAAGTGGCTGTTTTTCATACCTTGGAGATCAAAATATATAGAGTTATTCTTTTTATGCCTGACTACCAAAGTGCAAATTTGCATTCATCACTCAGACAAATAGTTTGAGTCAAACTACTGACAGACAATCAAGTGACAAAAGGATTTTAAAAAATACTTCCTGATTAAGGTGTATATATAGTAGTACTTTACATGGATAGGTAAGTGAACCTTCATCTTGGAGGGTAGAGGTAGCAGTAAACATTCTGTATTTACATTTATTATGTAAATAGTTGGTGTCAAAAGTGTTTTGGACCACATTCTGATACCTCTTTTCATTTAGCTTAATTGCTCTGTGGATTTCGTCAGAGCTATTAGTGTGATAACGTCTTACTGTGTGCAGTCTGTCTGTTTTCAAGGAATAATTACTTTGTTTAGAATTAGTCTGTTCATTTTTCTAAGGTAGAATTTTCTAATGAGTTACAGGTCCTGAAGTATAGTGCTTGACTATAGAGTGTTTATAAAGTCAAATCAAGTTCTTAATTTGTAAGTGTATATTTTACAGAAATGTAAGATAATTGTGTGCTACAATTTATTTTTTTTTCTAAGCAAGAAAAATGGCTCTTAATGTTACGTGGGATTTCAGGCACTCAGGTCTCACCTCTGCTGTGAATTCATCTTCTGTGTTGCTCACAAGTATGTTAGGAATAGTCTGCACTGTGTTTATTTGTAAAAGCTCTAAAATATTCAGTTTTTACAGCATTGAGAGATGAGAAAAAGACTTAGTGTTCAATTAGAATTTCTTACTAATGATTTTGCATACAGTTTTAATTTTCTAAATCATTGGACACATTGCTAAGATTTAAATTTCATGTGATAGCTATTAAGTGATACCTTGATTCCTAATGTTACTAGAAATTTCTGACTTTGAGGATTTTTTTTTTCCTCTTCCAGGCAAGAAACACCTTTTTTTAAGCCAAATTATTTTTTCACTTTTCTTATGCATATGGCTGTTACAAAATTATAGCAAAAAAGAATAAAATCACTTGCTTTAAAACTTACTAGTATGTATTTTCTTTTTAAAAGCTTTGATTTGGAAGCTAATTTGATATATTTAATACAATGTGTTATGGTTAACTAATGTGAACCAGTGCTATGGAACTGGTCTGTAAACGGGCTGAAACTATAGCCCGAGGAATATAAAACTAATTTCAAGAGAGTGTCAGTGCTGAAAACTAGTTCAAATAATAGCAGTATTAACTGCTTGACTAATTAAACTAATCTTCTTATACATTATTAGCAAATGCAGTGACAGTTGTTGGTTATTGATATACGGAGTCTTCTTTTTAAAAAGTCTTCTTTTAGAAGAAAACTTTTTGGCTGTATTTGGAATAGAGAGTACATGAGGAGAAAGAAGTTATGCAGCCCCTTTCTAGAATCTGTCAACTTTTTAGTTTCCATATTTTTTTATTATTCTTTTGTAATAAGGCCGTTGAAACACCAAGCTCTCCCTCCAATAATGTCAAGTTCTTAGTTCAATATTTCAAGCATGCTAAAAAAGGAAAACTTCAGGGATGTGAAATTTGAAGAGCATACCTAACAGGGGATTCAATGCAACATCCTTGTAACTGACACAAAGAAATACTAATTTTTAGGGGACTCTGTGCTACTGATGATTACTAAAGCTGTTGAGAACTGCCAGTGTGCAGCTTGCTGCTTCTGCAGAAGATTTGCAGGATTCCTGGAGTCTTAGGTCTGGGAAAAGACCTGGGGGGCTTGTGATACCTGAAACTTTGCCAGTTAGAAGAGCTCAGCTGTAAACAAATTGATAAATACAGAGGTTTACACTCTTCTTTTTAAATTATTATTATTTTTCTTTTTTTTTTAATTTCTTTTTTCTCCCCCCCCCTTTTTCTACCTAGATATATGTTGACAGATGCATACGCGCATACATAATACATGTACACTCATAAAAATGTTTTTTCATCTTCGTGATTTTTGTAAGACAGAAACAATAGCTAATAAAGACAGTGGGAGGGATTTAGTGGTACAATCGCTGCATAAAGAAATGGATCCAGAAATAGGAACAGATGGTTCATATCAGAGTCTATTAATTTTTTCTATTTAGATCAATGATTTATTTTTATCAGTTTCTGAGTGGATGATAAACAGCATTTTGGGAAGATTTGGGTGTTGCATATTGCTGAACTCATAAATAGAGACCAGGTCAGTCTGGAAGTTCATGTGCTGTAAAATCTTCTCTCCTACGGGGAGTACAGTGCCTTTGACTATAGGCAGAATTAGAAAGTACGAGTACGGAAAAATGCAGAAGTGTTTTCCCTTGGTAGTTTTATGGAAGGAGGGAGCTAGGACTTGGTTAGAGATGGTTTTTTTGTTTTGTTTTGGGTTTCTTGTGGGAATTCTGAAGGCAGCTTTTCAGTATGTTTTTTGTGTTTCATCACTTTTAAGACCTAGGCCTAACAAATAATTTAATTTTTTTTAACCCTCTAGCATTCTCTCCTATCCGGACTGAATACATTTTTCCTTGAGTTTCTGAGGAGTTAATTGTTGTTGGTGCTTTTTTACCAAAATGCTCTGTTGTATATTCTTCAGATATACTGAATGGTGCAGCCCCCCACCCTCTAATTTCCTGAATCTGTCATGATTTTTGCACTTTATAGGTATTATGCGCAGTGTTTTGAACCTAACCTAAAACTAACCTAAAATTGCCAAGTGGCAAGATTTCCATTACTTTCAAGCACTCAGAAGGATGATTTTTCAATGCAGGGTTTCAGCATGTCGGGTTTGTGCCTTGACACTCTCTTTCGGCAGCTCTCTGTGGTACACTCCTCCTGAAATCGAGATGGGGAAAGTATATGCCTTGTTGGACAGCAAAGCCCAGTTTTAGTCCATTTTTATCTTTTTTTGGTATTTCTTTCCACTTTTCAGGCTGTCTGCAGTGCTGTTATCAGCAGTTATATGCATTTTTCAAGCTTAAAGCTGTACTG